GGCAACCAACACACTGCTACCTGCTCCCACTGGGGTGTGCTGCAGGGCCCTTCATAAACAATTAAAACACTTCCTTGTAACCAGCACCCGTTTTAACTTTCCAATGCCTGGCCTTTTCTGCAGTGTATCAGCTTCTTCATTTGCACGAAGAGGCTGCAGCAGATGATCTGCAGTCTAGCAGTTCTGCTTTGATTCTCCATCCTCACAGTCCCAAAAGCAATGGAGGCTCCTGGGAGTTGACCCATTGGTAAAAGTGCTTGCTGCTGCACAGGCATGAGGGTCTGACCTGGATCCCCAGCACCCAGGAAGAATGACGGCTGTGGCAGTGAGTGCCTGGAACCCCAGGGCTGGGAAGGCAGAAACAGGGGATCACTGACCAGCCTCAACCCCAAAAGAGAGAGCCTGTTTCAAGAAAGAAAGAAAAAATATATAGATGGCTAGATGACACTTGAGGAATGACATCCAAGGCTGATCGTTGGCCTTCACATACACATACAGATATGTGCATGAGCTCCTGCACACACATGCTTACACGCATAGGGCCAGCTAAACTTTAAAGGCAAAACTAACATGGCAATACAGGCCTGTAATACCAGAGCTTGAAATGTTGAATTAAGATTAGGAGTTCAAGATCACCTACAGCTAGATACCAAAATGGAGGCCAGAATGAGCTATGTAAGACCTTGTCTTTAAAAAAAAAAAAAAATCTTAACTGTGGTCTAGAAATGCTGGAGGATTCAAGTTAAGTCATAGGTATGGCCGTGTCCTTTCTTCTTTGAAGAAAATAATAATAACATGGACATTAGATTTGAAGAACAGCAAAGACTGGAACTGGTACTATCTTCCCATTAATACCTGGCTTGAATACCTGACCCTCCTGCCTCCACCTCCTGAGTGCTCAAAATAAAAGTATGTACCATCACACCCACTATTTGTTTTGTTTTGTTTATTTGGTTTTTTTTTTGTTTTGTTTTGTTTTTGAGACAGGGCCTAGCTATATAGCCCTAGCTTTCTGGGAACTCACTATGTAGTATAGGCTGGCCTTGAACTCACAGATACCCTCCTATCTCTGCCTCCTGAGTAATGGGATTAAAGGTATGTGCCACCACATCCAGCTGGTATTTTGATTTTTGAACTAGCATCTCACATTGTAACCCAGGCTATCTTGCACTTTACTGTGTAGCCCAGGTTAGCGTTAATTTCTCACCAATCCTCCTGCATCAAATACCAAGTGCTAGAATTACAGAATTGTTCTACTGGGCCTTATTGTGGACTATTATTTTAACTATGTAAAGACGTGTTATATTTGTTTATGTTGAAGAGTATTACTTTAAACTGTGTGAAGGTGTGTTACATTTGTTTATACTGCATTTGTTAGCCATGTAAAGATGTGTTACATTTGTTTATGCTGCATTTGTTTAATTATGTAAAGATGTGTTGCATTTGTTTTACCTTGCCTGCCTAGAACCCCTGATTGGTTTAATAAAAAGCTAAATGGTCAATACCTAGGCAGGAGAGAGATAGGAAGGGCTGACAAGCAGAGAAAATAAGTAGGAGGAAATACATAGGCTCAAGAGAGCAGAAGGAGGAGAGAATGAGGAAAAGAGGGACCCACCCAGGGCCAGAAGCCAGGCAGCCACCAGCCAGACATGGAGACAGAAGGAAAGTAAGATATACAGAAAGAAAGGTAAACAGGCCCAAGGCAAAACATAGAAACAGATTAAAATAAGCTAAGGTTGAGCATTCAAAACTAATAATAAGTCTCTGTGTCATGGTTTAGGAGCTGGCTGGTGGCCCAAAAGGAAAAACCTGCTACACAGCCCAGCTTCTTATTAATGTTTGTTTGTTCTAAGACAAGGTCCCTGTAGCCCGAGGACCTTAAACTTACTGTGTAGCTAAGGATGACCTTGAACTTGTGATCTGCCTGCTTCCATCTCCCAAACACTGGAATTATAAGTGCAAAGTGTACCTCACCATGGCTAGCTTATTGATTGCAATATTTTAAAATAGGAAATTCAAGTAAGTACCCTACCTTCCTCATTTGTATATCCATTGACATCTACTTGCTTCTAACCCCCCACAGGACAGACAGAGGTTGAGTAGAAAATGTTCATTTTTTTTTCAGACATCTTTAATGTTATTTCAACATCTTTCCAGAGCCCACACATAGCTCTCTATCTCTGCTTGGGCTGCCAAGTATGACTACAGTGTAAGAAATCACTTCTGTGTCTGTTTCATTTCACAGACTGCTTCTGAAGTAATTATCCATTCACTGTATCCCATGCATCCATTTCTTTGTGGAGGACCGTGAGACACAGAAGAAGACAGTTACTCGGACTTTCAATCTGAACAAAGGTGCTTCACTGACTTTAGTTTATGTCTACGCCACCTTTCTCTAATAAAACTGTTGATTTAATCTATAAACAACCCCATTTTTATTTAGTAAAAGGCTATGATTTGTAAAGAATGTGCAACATGGATATGTCAGACAGGACATTTGGCATAATAAATGCAGAAGAAAATTTGAGAACATTATTTAAGCTGGTTTGTCCACACCTTCCATTTCATTTTATTCCTTTCAGCTAAGTTTATTCCTTTCATTTTATTCCTTTTCATTCTGACAAGATGTGCAGGGTTAGAACTGATGGTGGGAACACCAGTGTTCACCACCCTAGTTTCCAGAGCCTTAAGAGACCAGCTTTATTTTCTGACTTGTTTGTTTTTAATGTTTTTGTTACATGTGTGAGGATGCCCTACGAGGCCAGAAAAGGGTATGGGATATCCCAAAATTGGAGTCACAAGCTGTTGAGGTCTGTCTCTTGTAGGTGCTGGGAACTGAATTTGTATCCTCTGGATACTCTTCTGTGAATGACTGAGCCATATCTCCAGCCACCCCTGTTTTTGAAATATACAAAGGGAAATGCCAGTGTGACCAGGGGTGAAGATGTCCTTAATGACTGGCTAAGCTGGACAAGCCTGAGTAGGTTCTCCTACCTCTCAGCCTTGAATGACTCTGAATGGATTAAAAACTCCCTCTGCCCATCTCACTGGGCTGCTACAAAAATAAACTCAGGAATAGGAGAACATACTTCCACACAAATGCAAAGTTGCTGTTATTATTTTCCACTATAGAATTTCCTGGGCAGCATGTTTTTTTTTTTTTTTTAAACACATGAGTATTGCATACCTCACTCCAGACAGCATTCATCAGAGGTCACTTCATGCGTCCTTTGTCCGTTGAGAATTCCATCAGTCCTGCGGTATCTATCTCTTTGGTTCATGTTCCTACATTATGTTTCTAAACACAAATCCCACCATACACTGACATACTGCATGGAGCAACTTGAAAAAACAAAAAACAAAAAACTTCAACACAGATGTAAAGGTCAAGCACCCTAACAAAGGTTATGCTCAAAGTACCCAACAAAAAGTCAAAAGGAGAGAGACCTAATCAGATTAGAAAATGCCGTGTGTGTGTGTGTGTGTGTGTGTGTGTGTGTGTGTGTGTGTGTTGGTACATGCCTGTAAGCCCAAGCCTCGGGAAATAAAATCAGGAGGACTATGAGTTCAAGACCATCTTAGGCTATATAAGTCTCTGCTCATCCTCAAAAACAAGTTCTGGAAGGAAACCATATACTATGTACTTCCATAACCAGGGATTCATCCCATCCCACTTTCATGCTTCAGAAACAAGGTAATAATCTGTGGTTCCTAAGAACCGGGCAGAGAGAAAAGAGCATGCAGCACATACATATTCAGGGGAGAAAGTGAAACAACTAAAGGATGCGCAGTAATAAACTCCGGGAGTTTTAATGTCTGCCCAATGAGCCGCAGCTATCTTTTGCATAGCTTTTTGTAGGGCTTTCCTGTCAGGAGACTGCATCCCAACCATCTCCTGTAACCATGATGAAACAATCTTTTGTTGTTGTTGTTGTTTGTTTGTTTGTTTCGAGACAGGGTTTCTCTGTGTAACAGCCCTAGCCATCCTGGAACTAGCTCTGTAGACCAGGCTGGCCTTGAACTCACAAAGATCCTCCTGCCTCTGCCTCCCGAGTGCTAGGACTAATAGCGTGTGCCACCACCACCTGGCATGAAACAATCCGTTCCGTGTGTGTTCGTAGTACAGACATACTTGTGGTCATTGACTCCAACTTCGTATCTTTAAGCAATAAACATTTTACTGATGAGCACCCTGAGTCTCAAGGCATGTGCCCCAGGGTCTTATCTTGTGAAGCCAACATGTAGGTCCAACACTCAAACCAAAACTCCCTAAACCTCAGCTAGCTTTCCCCTCCTCTTCCCTAAGCAATTAACCCATTTAGTCCTTCCTACACCCATATCCAACCAGTAAATCCTAGATCAGACCTGGTCCAGTCTGGCCCAAAGCGGGCCTTCACAAGGCTGCACAGAAAGATGCTCACTTGTCCACAATCTTGCCAAGCCTCTGCCACCCACCGCGAGCATCTCCATTGAGCCTACACAGCTCCCCCAAGCCCAGGCTCCACCTGCCCAGCTGTGCGCTCGCGCACAAAGCTCCAGACACTAGGAAGGACCCAGAGAGGCCAGCGCGTCGTAGGGAGACCCAGCGGCGGCCCGGTCAGGGGTCCTGCCACCGCGTAGCCACCGCGCACAGCCGAAACTACGCTTCCCAGGCTGCCCCGCTGCAGGCGCTCCCCAGCGCCGCGCCCGGCCCGGAGCCGCCTGTTGATCGCAGTTCTAGTCCGGGGCCACGGCGCCGCCCCTGCTGGTCAGACCCGCGCACTCGGGGCTCTAAGGCTGCTTGCTGGTCAGCACCTTTCGCTACCGGATGGACACAAGCAAGGGTGAGAACCTAGGGCGGAAGGGGACTGGTGGAGCAGCCTGTCTGCAGCGCCCGGGTCCGAAGCTCAGCGGCCGCCGCACCCTGCGTGTCCGCGGGAGGATGCTCCATGGCGTGGCACGCGGCCAAGCGCAGTCCGCAGCAGCTTGCACCCGGGTGGCGGGTGCACGGGGAGGTGGGGATGGCGCAGGGCGGCCAGGGATGCGTGTGGGTAACGGCTGCATCGTGCTCTGCAGCCCCACAGCTCCCTCAGCACCGCACTCCACGAGCAGATGCAGAGAGGGCGCGGTCTCCGGTCGCCAGGGGCTGCGGAGCTGGGGTTTTCCAGGTTGGGCTTTGTTTCCCATTTTCTCCTCTCCTGTGAATGTGTGATAAGCTCCCGGAGTCCGGAGCATCTCGCTGCGGCCTCGTTTGAGCAGGAGCCTGGGAAGGGAGGACTCGGGTTGGCTTCTTCCTGAGGTCCCCGGAGCTGTCATAGTACGCTTCTGAAAGCCGCCCTTTGCAGGTCCCAGGGAATATTTTTCTTATTCTTCCTGATTAAAATCATGCTGATTCGTGCCTTCCCGGGTCTTCCTTGCCTTAACCTATTGACCTGCAAAAAAAAAAAAAAAAAAAAAAAAAAAAAAAGTCGGTTTAAAATAATAATAATGAAAGGTTTGGGAATTTTTATTTTAAAATGTCAGGAGGTGGGAAGGTGATGTGGCTAAAATGCAAATTACAGTAAAGAGGCCGAGAATGCCACGGCTTCTCCAGCTCTTATTAAATATCTGATTCACCATGCGCTTGGGAAAGGAGAAAAAAGAACATCAGAGGAGGCATTACAAAAGCATGGTTTCTGTAGCAGCTCCGCCACTGAGTAGCTGAGGGATCCTGGGCCAGACTCTTCGTCTCTCTGAGCTGCATTCTCCGTGTAAAAATGAGGTATTTGGTGAAATGGTTTCTGAATCTTTTTCTTCCTAGATACTTGTATCGAGGAACTGAAATGGCAAGAATGATTAGTACTTTAAGGAAAGCTTGATGGGGACAGAACGGTTTTCCCTAAGGAAGCTGCAAGATTTTCAGAGCTTAATTAAGGTGTTTGTTTGTTTTTACCTGATTCCTTCTATTCTCTTCAGTCTAGCTTAATAATTATAACAAAGGTTTTTGGTTTTTATGTTAACATAAATTGGCAGACCACAGTGTGGTGGTTTTGTTTGCAGAAGGCAGTGTGATCAGCTGATAAAGTCGGTGGCTCCCTAGGGCTGGGCCTGAGCTGTCAAATGTGTGTGCTCTGCAAGAGGGTGGGGGAGGAGAATCTAACAAGAAATAACCAGAGAGGATATACAATGAGGAAAGAGAGAATGGTACTGATGGGTTATTGTATAAAAATTGAATGCACAATAGAAGGCTTGAGAGAGGCACTGTACCAACACTTACCTAACCATCAACTGGTACTGTGAAAGAAGGGTGAGAGCAGGAGTTTCATATGATTTCAGGGTGTCTTACTCAGGTCTTTACAGTGCAGAGATTAGGAAGTTTCCATCAAACCCCAAAGGTCATGATGGTACCTCTGGAGAGTCTCCTGCTCTAATAAAAAGACCATAATCTCACCCGTGTATTACTCCAGACAAGATGATGCAGGGGTAGGGGGACAGCTATCATAGATGACAATACCTGACTGTAGATTGGTGTATGTGTGGACTTTGCTTTCTAGACGAGAAAACAATACCTGCAAAAGATCATTTGGGGGTCAGGACGTGGTGGTGCCTGCCTTAATGCCAGCTGGTAGGTGTCTGTGAGTTTGAGGCCAGCCAGCCTGGTCTACATAGTGAGTTCCAGGCCACCTTGAGCAACATAATAGTAAGACCCTGTCTCCAACTTGCATCCAAAATAAGTAAGTAGAGATATTTTGGAGATGTTCAAGATATCTGAATATGGACTGTGTACTAGACAATGTGGCATCACTGCTCTTAAGTGCAGTAGTAGTGTAGTATATAGGAGATTGTTCTGATTTTTTTATTTTAAATCTTTTTTTTAAAATACCTTCACCTATTTGACACAATGTATCTTGATCCTATCTATCCCTCCTTCCCACCTTCATGCCTTTGGGAATGGTGGTAACAATGCAAGTCCAAAGTTGGATGGTCTTGTTGGCTTGATCTGAAAGTGTTGCATTAGTAACCACAGCCGCTGAGAGTTCATGAGAGCAACAGCTGTGTCACATCTAGAAGACAGCATTTCACTGCACGACTCCCCATCCTCTGGCTCTTACATTCTTTCCACTCCCTCTTCAGTGATGCTCCCTGAGCTTTGAGGTGGTTGGTACAGATGTTCCGTTTAGGAATGAGCACTCAATTGTCACCTATTCTCAGTACTTTGGTCATTTATGAGTCTCTGCATCAACTGCTGCCCACTGCTGAAGAATCTTCTCTGGCCAAAGTTGAGAGCAGCACTAATGTTTGGGCATAGCAGTAAGTATTTAGAAGACAGTTTGATGATGTGTCCATTTAGCAAAACATCAGTAGTAGGTTCCCCTACACACACACACACACACACACACACACACACACACACACACACACACACACACACACGCTTCAGTATGAAACTGGTTGGTTGCCCCCATAACCTTCATGCCACCGTTGTACCTGTAAGCACACCTTGCCTGGCAGGTCAGTATCAAAGCATTCAGATTCACTGTTTGGGTAACCCATTGATGATTCTTCTCCCCCAGCAGCATACAAAGCACCTTCTGACACTATGAAAGCTTAGGGTTTTGGAGGTGAAGCACACTGGCATCTACAATACACACAGCAGGTTCAGGGAAGAGCAGTCTGTGGTGGTAGAGCCTGTTCAGGAGCACAGCAGAAAGACAGTGATGAGGGTGAGTGAGTCAGAAGAGCAGTGTACAGCTGGATTGTGCGCCACTCTTTTGTAGGATTCAACTTTTTAAATAAGAAATTGGAGGTGAATTTTTAAAAATAAGCAAACAAATAGGAAGGCTTATAGAGTACTACATAGTTATTGGTAGACTGCTATGGTGAGTCTAACAGGAAGTACTTAACTCCAAATTCCCAAGCAAGACATAAATCTTCCCAGAGATGTTAATGGAGTCAGGAAAACTCACTAACTTTGGTTTTTCTTAGCTACTATTGATTATTTATACTTAAGAGACAAATCCTCTAGCTCTAACCCAAAGTATCACCAAATCCTTGGTACCCGTGGGAAATTTGTCATAGAAAACCTTCCCCCACCACCACCATCTGCAGATTTCAAATCCTTTTTTACAAACTACCATAGATTTACATGTAACTAAATGTATTCTCCCCAGATATTTAAAACCTCTTTAAATTACTTATACCTAGCTGGGTAGTGGAGGCACAGGTCTTTAATCCCAGCACTCTGGAAGCAAAGGCAGGGGATCTCTGTGAGTTTGAGGCCAGCCTAGTCTACAAAGCTACACAGAGAAACCTTGTCTCAAAAAATTGAAAAAAAAATTATACCTAATATAATGTAACTATATAACTTTCTGTGCTGTTTTTATGAAATGACAAGAAAAAGATATACACAGTAGAGATTGCTCTAGGAATAAACTCAGAGTTTCCTCGGAAAACAGCCTACCATTGGCCCATATCTTCAGCCCTCATATTTTTTTTAATAATTTGACCTGCAATTGATTAAAGTAGCAGATGTGGAGTTCACCATTATTAGTGGATCGAACTGTGTTAATAATTCCCAAACCTCAATAATTGTTGCCCTGGCTAGGAACTACCCTGAAAGATCTCTCCACCCTACTTGTATTGGGGATTGAAATGAGGCCCACGCGTGCTAGGCAAGCACTCTACCACTGAGTCATATCCTCGGCCTTTGTTTATTTGTTTTCCATTTGCAGTGATGGTGGTGATGTTCTTTGTTTTTTTGAATCAGGATTTCTCTGGGTAGCCCTGGTTGACCTGGAACTTACTCTGTAGACCTGGCTGGCCTCAAACTCAGAGATCTGCCTGCCTCTGCCTCCCCAGTGCTAGCATTAAAGATGTGTGCCACCACACCAGCCTTGGCCTTCTTTTGTTTTATATTTGAGTCTGGGTCACAACAAGCCTTTAACTCATGGTCCTTCTGCCTCAGCTTCCTGAGTAGCTGGGTGATTGGCACACTCTACCAGGGCCAGCTGTCTTTTTCCTTTCCACATCTGAGATCTGTGACAGTATGTAAGGAAATCTGAGAAAGTAAATTCTAGCTAGGATTGAATGGTAGCTCATTTTCCCTTCCCATGTGAGGTCTGTGACAGTATGTAAGGAAGTTTGAGAACATACTAGTATCAAATGGTCCTTCATTTTACTTTGGATTGAGAAAATGCTGGCAAAATATCTGGTCTAGTTTTCTTTTTTTTGGGGGGGGGAGCAGGTTTGAGACAGGCTTTCTTTGGAGCCTGTCCTGGAACTAACTCTGTAGACCAGGCTGGCCTCGAACTCACAAAGACCCACCTTCCTCTGCCTCTCAAGTGCTGGGATTAAATGTGTGTACCACCAATGCCCGATCTGGTCTAGTTTTCTGACAAAACATAAATAATGGAATTCCCTTTTAGTCATTTTGTGTGTCAATCACATGTAAACGGTTATATGAACTTACAGGCTATATCTAGTTCAGAGAAATTTCTAGAAGGCATATGCATAAGACTTCCTACTGCAGACTCAAAAAACAGAATCAATTCTTAAGACACCACCATCTGTGATGGCTCATGCCCTGAATCCTACCACTCAGGAGGCAGAGATGGGAGGCTCATCAAGAGTTCCATGCTAGCCTGGTCTACATAATAAGTAAGTTCCAGGCTAGCCTGCTTTACATTGTAAGGGCTTTTCCAGGCTAGTCTGCCTTACATAATAAGTTCCAGGTTAGCCTGGTCTACATAGTGAATTCCAGACCAGTGTAGGCTACAGAGTGAGAGACCCTGTCTCAACTTAAAAATAAGTAATAAATAAATAAGATACAGCATCTAATCTTTGATGCAGACCCCTTTTGTTCCAGATTAAGATCTCATGTGTGTGTGAAAATAGTCATTTAAAGCATGCACATTTACTTAGATATGTGTCTGTCATGATATACATGTGTGTGTTCTGTGAGTCTTTTAGCAGTCGTGCTTCTAAATGTTTAGAATGTTGTTAGAGTTACAAGAAAAAGAAACTACCTAATCAGCTCATCCAGGAAAGCTGGTTTACTCTTTGTGGTCAGAGCTTTTCATGGGTTATGGTTCTTGGATCTGTAGAATATGGTATACAATTTTTTACAAGCTATGTGCTAAATATTTGTGTTATATGTGTACTTCATATGTTATAAATATACCATATATAT